TATCTATCTATCTATCTATCTATCTATCTATCTATCTATCTATCTATCTATCATTTGTTCTATATTCTTCTGAGACATGATGTAGCCCTGTCCAATCTCAAACTATGCAGCAGATAGTGGCCTTGACCTTTCTGATCCTCCTGCCTCTACTTTCGAATGCTGGGATTATATAGGCTGGCTGACATAGTCTATTTATAAGGAGTAATTCCAACAGGACCTCGACACTGAGTTTCCATAGTTGGCTTCTTGAGAGGTTCTTTGTGCTACCTTAAATGTCACACAAGTGTCATATTCCAGGGAAATTGGCTGGGTGGAGTGACCAGTGTGACTCCGCTGATGGCTGTGAGTAGCCAGGACAGAGGTTCTCCACAGATGCCCTGCATATCACATCTGCACCACAACTCATAACAGTGGCAAAATTACAGTTAGGAAGTAGCAACAAGACCTCTTTATGCCTGGGGGTCAGCAGAACATGAGGAACTGTATTAAAGGGTCGAGCTACTGAGCGAGGAGGTGGAGGACCCTGACATTTGTAGAATGCCAACTGTGGGGGGCACCCACTCTTTGTATCTGGGCTTCAGAATAGTAATTCTGAGCTTTAGGAATCAGTGGGATGCCTGTGAAAGATGTAGGCCCCACCCGTATTAGGTCTGGGATGGGGGCTTGAGATTTTTTTTAGGTAAGGAGCACCTAGTTGATTCTTAAGCGCATCCTTGGCTCTTGGTCTACTGCGAGTAGAAAGTGAATGTTACAAAGGGTGTTGGGGTCCCCTTGCCTCCCAGGTGGGCAGGGGCTGACTTCGGCTAGAGTGACCCTCAGTGTGATCTCATGCGTGTAGGGGGGCACTTCCTCACACATCGCTCCCATCCAGACGAGCAGGTATTCACCTGAACCCCAGGTTCCCAGGAACACCCTGTACCTGTGGCCAGCCTGGGCTGTTTGAGATTGCCATCTCAGTCCCACCCAGCCCTGTAATTAGAATTTCAGAGCGGTTGTTATCGGCAGCAATTAATCCAAATGAACTCCTCTATCTCCTCTACCCAGCTGCCCACCCCGTTTAGTGCTCTGCGATTGTTGAAAACAAAGATCTTTTTCAGAAGCACCCCCAATTAGAAGTGAGTCCTGGCCCGCCTCCGGAGTTACAGGTTTTCCCTTGAAGATCCTGGATGTGGTGGTGGGGGCGGATAGGGGAAGTATGCGGTGATGAAAGCACTCAGGTTTATAGCGGTTTGCCGGAGGGCTCCTGTGAGCTCTGCCGTGGGAGTTGGATCCATCTCCGAAAAGGACTTTTTCATCATGAGAATTTTCAGTTGGCAGGTTCCCTGCAGCCCTGGTTCTGGGAAATGGAATCGGCGGCGTCTCCAGGTGCTGGGCAAATGCCTGCCCACAGAGCTGACCCCAGCCCAGGCTTCTTAGGATGAGAAGTTTCAGACCGCAGTGGAGGAGTCCCTGTGTTCATCATTCCCTGCCAGGGGTGTTCCTGTTCTCTTAGCTGTCCTTCTGCTCTTAAACTCCTCTTGCTGGGTTTTGCAGCGGACACTGGGTCATCTTTTCTCACCTCTGACAAGGTCTGTAGCTGAGGTTCCATTAACAAAATAGAGACCAATAAAAACACACATGCACTTAATAAAGTTTTATGTGGCTTAGGGACTGGTCAGAAGTGAGGATCCAAAACATCCCAGGTGGTTTTGAGCTGTGTGAAGAGTGAACGTTTGCTCAGGTAAAGGAGTGGACACAGGGATTCTGACCCAGGGGTTATAGACGAGGGAGTGAGCAAGGCCTCCTGGGTAGGTTCTTCCTGTCCTTATTCCCGTCTTCAAAGCTAGGATGCCTTTCTATCCTGTGTGTCTCAGGATACTTCCTGCAGAGGGTCTTTGCAACCTGCTTCCAGGAAAGGCAGAAAACTGTTCTTTATAGCCTTCTTGGGCGGGGGAGGCCAGGGAAAAGCCAGGCAAAGCTGCTGCCTCAGTTGTGCTCAAGGTGACCTATGCTGGGGTTATCGGACTCCATCATTTCTAAATGGGTTTATTGTAGGAACAAAGCCAGCACGACCCGCCTGGTGTCTTAACCAAAAGTAGTCACCCACACGCGTCCCTTCCAGGAGTGCGTCCCAGAGAACCTGGACCTGAAAAAGAAGATTTTTGCCCAGCTGGACCGCATCGTGGACGACAGGGTTGTCTTGAGCAGCTCCAGCTCGTGCCTGCTGCCTTCCAAGCTGTTCACGGGCTTGGCCCATGTGAAGCAGTGCCTCGTGGCTCATCCCGTGAGTACACTGCGTGTTGTTCCTTTGTGGCGCTGGACGATCAAACCCAGGTCCTCTCACCTGCTGGGCAAGCACCAGGGAACACTCCAGCCCCTGGGGGTGTGGTGCATCTGGGGACTTAATCGTATCTCATTCTGTTTTAGGGCCAGTACATCGCGATGATCTGCAAGTATCTTGAACAGCTTTATTAAGGCGTAATCCACATACCACAGAAGCTGTTAGATAATATTATACAATCTGGTGGTTTTGTATCCATTTAAGATTGTGCAATATCATCATTAAAAAAAAAAAAACCAACTATGATCCCAAATCCTTCGGAATGTTATCTGTGTATCTAAGGTGTTATAGCATAAAACAAGCGGTATTTACTGCTTTAAGCCTCGGGGCACTTATCATGTGACACAAGGCTAGGTAAGCAGTCTGTCTCATCATCACAGTAAGAGCGCTGCATTACAAATGTCTGTGTGGGCTGCTGGGGGTGGCCAAGTGGATAAGGTGTGTGCGGTGCAAACACGAGGGCCTGGGTTTGAATGCCTAGAACCCACGGAAACAACAACAACAACAACACACACACACACACACACACACAGTGATTTTTAAATGTACATGCCATGCAGAAGTTTGTAGACATGTCAACTTGCCTTGTATCATTTATTGAAAGTCACTCACAGTAGGGTCAGATCTGTTAAAATGCAGATCCGATGGCTGTCACTGTCAAAATTCTGATTTAGCACATCTGAGTTGAAACCCTCCTCCCCTGCTGCTCCCCTTTCAGCCATCCACTGTAATTGACTAAACCCATTTCCTCATCAGAGACGCCTTATGTGGCGAGCTGGGACCTGGGCTCTGATTAGCAGGTAAAGGGAGGGCTCAGTGAGTTGAGGTTAATGTGTCACTGTGAGGACAGGGAGCAAGCAATGGTGTGTGTGTGTGTGTGTGTGTGTGTGTGTGTGTGTGTGTGTGTGT